GGGTTGGAGTATTACAGGAGGGACTGTAACGAATTCGAGAATTTAGAGTTATGAAGGTGTAGTTGGGACAGTCATATTGTGTTTTTTGGCTTATGCCTTTTGGCAGTTATTTGGCATTGGGTCTATTGGTATCTAGAAATATTTTGTGATGAACGTACATGAAAACCTTGCGACGTTCAGTCCTTATCTAATTATTAGTCGTTTTCAGTAAGTTGGATTCCTGTTTATCCAACAACATCAGCAAAAAAGGATTCCGCTTCTCGGGAAAGGGGCCGCTTCAGTGTTTAGGCCGGTGTGGACAAGTTCCGAATTCAAAGCCCTGCGAATGTAGAAGGACATGGAGCCAGGGGGCCGGAATAGTCACCACATTTTAGGCTGGACTGCACTCCTGATAGTGAGATATTCTAAAGATTGTCTAAATTGAATAGATCTTTAATAGATCTTTTAAGTTGTTGGCCTGATAGAGGATCAAATGAGAAGTAGTTCGTGCTTTCGTATTGAATGACTGCGAATAGGGACTAAATATCAATAGGGGAATCTATTAATAAGGAAGTTTTAATTGAGGTTTAGCATAAAAAATATATTGTACAAAGTTATTTAGCGTAAAAATACATTGATTAATACACATTATACAAAAAAATATCACTAATATTACACTAAAAGCAAAAAAAAAAAAAAAAAGAGAGAGAGAGAAAATATGTAGTGCAACTGGCGCAACACTATTCTCATCTCTCATCTGACGCAAGCTTTTAGCGCAAGGTTGGAGGATTTTTTTTGACACAACTCCAACGTCATGCTCTATATTAGAGCAGCGTTGGAGAGGCTCTAAAACCATAGGTCCTGAGCAAATGTTGATTCTGGTTTTAAATCCCTAATAAATATCTTCTCAAACAACATATTAAATAAATATTAGTAGACCAACGCTCGTGAATTGAAATGAAAAACAAGATGGACCAAATTTGCCCCTATGGTTTTTGTGTATTGTATGTCTAGGTTTGTTATGATCGATGTTATGTGATTACGATTATGTTTGTACATTAGATGCAGATATCAGAAGATAGGTTTAATTCTATCAAATAGAAATTACTTTTTGTGATCCTGGTAATTTTGTGTGGTAGGAATACCATAAGATTGGTCTATTTTGTTGTGCTAATAACCAAATGTTTTTGAGATTTGTTGTATATTTTGGGCTTTGCCTCTTCATTTTGGCATTTTCTTGTATAAATTAGGTTTATTTTATTGCTCAAATTATGTTGATGCCAAATAACATTATTTTGTTCTTGAATTATATAATATTGATATTAGTTTATTACCTTATACATCTTGTTGACATCAATTTTTTTTTTTTTTTTT